CACAGTCCAGTGGGTGGCAAATTGGCTAGAGGGTCGTACCCAGAGAGTGATAATGGATGGGTCGGTATTGACCTGGAAGGGAGTGGGTATTGGGGTCCCACAGGGCTCAGTCCTTGGACCGATACTCTTCAGTGTCTTCATCAGTGACTTGGATGAGGGAATGAAGTGTACTCTGTCCAAGTTTGCAGATGAATCAAAACTGTGGGGAGAAGTGGACACACGGGAGGGCAGGGAACAACTACAGGCAGACCTGGACAGGTTGGACAAATGGGCAGAAAAACAATAGAATGCAATTTAACAAGGAGAAATGCAAAGTGCTGCACCTAGGGAGGAAAAATGTCCTAGGAAATGACCTGCTCGGCAGCACGGAAGCGGAAAGGGATCTCAGAGTCCTAGTGGACTCCAAGATGAACATGAGTCGTCAGTGTGACGAAGTCATCAGCAAAGCTAACTGCACTTTATCGTGCATCAGCAGATGCATGACAAGCAGAACCAAGGAGGTGATACTTCCCCTCTATTGGGCACTGGTCAGACTGCAGTTGGAGTACTGCGTCCAGTGTTGGGCACCACACTTTAAGAGGGATGTGGATAACGTGGAGAGGGTCCAGAGAAGGGCCACTCGTATGGTTAAGGGCTTGTAGGCGTAGCCCTACGAGGAGAGACTAGGGTGCCTGGACCTCTTCAGCCTCTGCAAGAGAAGGTTTAGGGGCAACCTTGTGGCTGCCTATAAATTCATCATGGGGGTGCAGAAGGGAATTGGTGAGGCTCTACTCACCAAGGCACCCCTGGGGATCACAAGAAATAATGGCCATAAGCTAGCAGAGAGCAGATTTAGACAGGACATTAGGAAGAACTTCTTCACAGTTAGAGTGGCCAAAATCTGGAATGGGCTCCCAAGGGAGGTGGTGCTCTCCCCTACCCTGGGGGTCTTCAAGAGGAGGTTGTATGGGCATCTGGCTGGGGTCATCTGAACCCAGCACTCTTTGCTGTCTATGCAGGGGTTTGGACTCGATGATCTATTGAGGTCCCTTCCAACCCTAACATCCTATGAATCTATGAAAGCTGAGCCCCTGTGAAAAGTGGAAGCGTCTTGACTGGAATTCAGAGGGATAGGCAGGTACAGAAGGCAGTACTGCAAGCACGGTGTTCATCATTTCATAGTTTATAGGGGCTGGAAGGGACCTTACAGATCATCGGGTCCAACTGCCCTGTACTTGGGCAGGAAAGACTGCTGGGGTAAGATGACCCAGCAAGATGGGCATCAAGATGTTCAATTGCCTTAAGCATAAGTCTGTTGTTTTTTTTCCCTGGAATCCTTCACCTTGTGCAATGCACCCACTCTAACTTCTAGCACAAATAAGACAGGGGCTTAATAGACAACAGCCTCCACTGCTACATAATTCTGACCTCCCCCATCCTTCCCTACCCAGCACAGGTCCGTCTTGTCCACTGAATAAGTTGTTGCCCTCCAATCACTTCCTTCCCCCTCCACAAAGTAGTGTCTAATTCCACTCTCTGTCCAGGCAGTCCTGGTTTTCCTTCATTCCTCTAGCTCCTTATCCAACCCAAGTGTTCTTCTCCACCCACCATCCAAATACTTCTCAGTCCTACACTGATTACATAGATTGTTGCGGGCCAAACTTTTTTGGCAGGTGTGCCACAAATAAGTCCCACGCCCTCTCTGTGCCACTCCCATCCCCTTCTTCTGCTCTTTTTGCTTCCTATTCTGTACATCCTGTCTGATCTCCTGTTCTATCTGCCACTGTGCTGCTGCCCCCTCCAAGATCTCCCAAGTGGCTGTCTATGCCACTTGTGGCACAAGTTGGCCACCCTGATGTAGATGTTTAGCAGTTACATGCTGGCATAATTCCATTACCTGGTTTTTGACTTTGGATGGGTGGCCATTAAAACAAAATATAACTTACAAAAAGAATACAGTGTCACAGGATAGACATTCTGCATCTGTTTTACATGTTATATTCCAGTTTTTAAGGCTTCCAGGAACTACTTTCATTACTGAAAATCATTCTTGGCAGTAAGGAGCTCATCACTATCGGTGGATTATGAAAATGCTTTGCAATGTGTTTTCTCTGGAGTTAGGCTGCAACTTGTAAAGAGTTGTATTTGAGCTAATGCTGGTATTCAGAAGTAACCTACATAGAGACTTTTTAAAGTTAGAAGTAGGTTCAGTATCTGGCCTTTTTGGATATTTTAAATGTGTGCATTGAAATACTATAGCAGCTTGACAGATCCAATATAAATGATGTAAGGTATCACACATGCATAAAAATCTTGGCTGCAGCCCTGTGCTACATATCCTAGCTAGGAATGCCATGATTAAGTCATGACATATGGAGAACTAAATTTGAAGATAATTGGGTTTCTCTTACATGAGAAGAAAGAAATTTAGCCACTAGGGGTTTGAAAGTTTCCTGTACTACAGTTAACACCCTGAAAAACTGGAATTAAAGTTGGAGAATTAGAGTGGCCAATATTCCCATATCTTCAACTCCTATCCATTGTTAAATTAAAGTATCCATGACCTGACATTTGCTGAAAAAGTGACTTACCATAACTATGATGAGGTAAACAAGCAAATTGCAGCTCTGGTCAACAGTTCACATGTATATACAGTGGTCTTCACAAAGATCATATTTCCCAGCAAATACCACCACTAGCATGCCACAGTTCATTGCTATTCTAAATTAAGGAAATACTACTGCATTTCAGAGATGATAGTCTAATAACTACTGGTAACAATTATTTTTTTCAGGATAGCAGCTTATATGCATGTGTGATACCACGTCAGGTGTGGTTGGTGCCTTCTGAGTCTGGGGGGGGCAGCACAATTTGTTGGCGGGCCCAGGAGAGGGCCAAAAGCCTCATATCTACTCCTACACTTGTGTGCCGTGGCTTAGTGTGCCCTCCCCACCCTCCCCCCTCCACTGCCAGCCTGCGCAGCAAAAAAACTGCCCAGTCCTGAGCAGTGCTGAATTGGGGGCCAATCTCAGGGGGGTGGAGGGTGGGAGGGATGTGCCCCCTGCCATATCCCCCCTAGCAGTCGCTTGTGCCACATGTTAAGTATTATCTATGTGATTAATGGCATTTGTTGTGCACCTTTTCCCACTCATCTTCTCAGTCAAATCTTTTAGCAGCTTCAGGGAGCCAGCATTTTTACTTCAATCTGCCACATAAATGTTTCCTTTTCCCCCCCACAGAGGTGGACTTTCCAATCCAACAAATACTAAATTACACTGGCCTTCAGCCAAGTTAGCAGTTCTGGAGGGCTGGACTAGTGACAAGTTCAAGACTGGATATCTAACCAGCTTTCTGGGTTAGAAATCATTGAAAAGGGGAGATTCTCAGTGGGATCAACACTTTGTTTTAGCCAGGAAAGGTCCTGAGATAGTGAATTGGACATTAGAGTTATGATATCTTTATATATAGAATATTATTTTATATTCTTTACATATGAATCAACAGCATTTTGATCCTGGCCAAGAGGTACTGTTTCCAGATTGAGTTCTTCTACAAAACAGGAGAAGGATGGGAGACAGGAGAAGATACTGAAAATGTCTATTTGGCCACTTGTGTGGACAGTTGTGGTGGGACATCTGTCTTTTGAGAGAAAGGGAGGTCCTGAGAGAGATTCCAGACAATGGGAGGGTGATGATTCAGAGTGGGAAGGAAGAAACAGTATCTTTTGTGTTTCTTAAATGGTTTGTCCATTGTTACCAGCTTCATTGCAAAGAAATAAATGTTACAGGAACAACTTTCCTTGCTTTCATGAGAAACAAGTTTTATATGAGTGTGGCTGCTGTGAAACTATTTTAAATACATCCTTTAACGTGTAGGTTCCCAGGTATTCCAGTGCCTGTGAATAGCCTGAGAGATTCTAGTTCATATGTCAGAGGCAGAGAGATTAATGTGAAGTGTAAGATCCATGACCACATTAAGCTGCTTAGGTTTGTCTTACATATATTCAGATTACATTTTCAAAGGAGGAACAGGGTGCCTACTGAATACCCATTTCTTGCAAGACCTGTGTGCAAATTGGAGTGTGTCTGAGTAATAATAATGCTTTGTGCTTTCATATTGCTTCCCATCAGGGAGTCTCCAAAGCACTTTGCAAACATTAAAAGATGCACTGAGTTTGCTCCATCTCTATTTTACAAGAATGGAAACTAGGTCATAAGGGAGGTTAGGGTCTACATTTTCAAAATGTGGCAACTTTCACTGTTTCAATTTTGGGTTTTCTAACCTTAAGCAGCTAGCACCTGAATTTCAGATGCTGAAACTGATGGTGGGCTCTACAAGTAGTCAGCAGTTCTAGAAATCAGAACTTACACTGCTAAAGCACCCATCATCAGAGGACAGCATGGAAAATATGCATTTACTCAATTTATGCAAGACCCCACAGCAAATCAGTCACAGGAATGGGAGTTAGGGGAGCTGTAACCTTGAATTCCGGAGTTGCGGCCCTGGAATCTAACACCAAAAATGCTCCAAGTAGCCTGGGAATTTGCCCAGGCATAATTGCCTTGCCAAATACCTGTTGATATATACTGAATGGGTATTTGCAGACACCACAGAGTGCTCAGTGTTTTTGTGGACCAAGTCTAAGTGGCACCTTTGATGTTTGGATATGCTCCTTTTAAAAAGGCAAAAATTTAGCATTTTTCCTGCATCAGTGCATACAGGGAAGTGGAGTGAAAGATCCTACTTGCGATTCAAGGAACACACTTTGTGCTCTATGAGCATCAGACATGAAAAATAGCCACCTTGCACATCTCCTTCGCTATTAGGTGCTATTGAATACAACTGAATACTTTCACTGATAACTTGTATTTTAGTCCATGTTTAACATGACAAAAAAGAACAAACCTTGTCCCAGTGCAAGTGCTGGAACAGATCAGAAAGTCATTTGTAAACCTGTCGGCTTTGACTAAGGTAGAGTAAGTATGTGACGTGGGACTGATTTGCATGTTTGTGACTTTCAGAAGTTCTGCCAAGGTGTGACAGATCTACAATACTTCAACGTCTCTTATTGCCTTCAACTGACAAATGAAACTGCTAAAGCTCTGGCGTTGTACTGCCACAACCTTACGTCTCTTAACTTAGCTGGCTGTCCCAAGGTATGTACAAGAGCTGGGAAGGAGTGCCAGGAATGCTGTTACATAAATTAACATAGTGTATCATTCTGAAGTTTGACCTGCTAATGTCTCTATTTTGCAATAGTGTTACAGTTCATATTTCTCAATTAATAATTTTTTACTTGTTTTTTGTAACCATCACCCAAAGCAATAACTGTCACTGAGTTTCTGGAAGTTAATCAGGTCAAAACTTTTCAAAAGTGCTAAAGTGACTGAAGCAGCTGAACCTCGTAAGGCATGAGCTCCCATTGTCCAGATTCTTAAATGTGCTTAGTTGTTGCCAAACTCTGAGTTGCAGTGTCTGACCCCTGGGTGGCCAAGCTCAGTGTCCAGGCTCCTCAGAAAATGCAGGTGAAAAGTTAGGTACCTAAGGAATGGGTGTTCAGAAGCTGGCAAGGTGGACCTGGGGCAACCTGAGCCAGCTAAAAGTAAAGTACCAAGGAGCAAAGCTGGGGGAAGAAGAGGGTCCTGCAGAGCCTAAAGAATTGAGCTGATGCACCTGCCTGATGGGCTTCTCTTTTCTTAGGATCCTTAGCTGTGAACCCTCCCTTGGAGTTAGGTAAACAGCTGAATTGGCTGACATCTTGTACCTCTTGCTCTGTTCTGCTGCCCCTCAACATGTTGGTGGCTTGCTTCTGGGCCTCCAGATGTGGAGGTAGCTGGTACCAGATATTCTGCGAGTATGACTACAGGATCAAGCTCTGACCATATCCACCTAGTCTGAAAATCTGTCCATGGAGCATATGGGGCTTCAGCTTAATCTAGGGTTGCCAGCAGCTTGTTTGTTGTGGGGTGGCATCAGCTTTGTAAATACCAACCAGTGGGCACTTAATTCTGTGCCTGAGGAAGTTGGGGCCTGTAGGATTGGGTGACAGCAAAGCAGCAGTTTTGTGGTACCTAAATGATTACATATTAGGCATCTAAAGAGGGAGATGGGTGCCCTGGCACTTCTAAGAAGATGGAGCCCAGATTCCAGAAGAGATTTATATCTAGAAATTGCTTTTTATTTTGAATGTATGTGCCTTTCCTCAGAAGTGCGATTCATCCAAATCCCACCTACACGTTTATGCACATGAGACGTCCTAGGCATTTCAGTGCAGATCTATAAATTCTAGCACTTAGGTGAGAACAGACTTAATTGCTGGAAAACACCTACTACACATGCTCATCGTATCGCCATTTTGAATAAGACGGTTGTGTTGGCATCTGAATCTAGCCTAAGGTTGTTTGCCATTCACAAGCCAATTATCCCTGCCTCTACTCAGAGTATGCCTAATGGAAGAGGAAGAGGTGCCAACTTTTCTTAATTGGTTATAGGACTGGCCCAGGAAGCGACAGACTTAGGTTCGACATGACTCAGCTAAAGGTTGTCTGAATCCATATCTCCCATTTCCCATGGAAATGCCACCAAGCTAATGGGCTGAGCTAAGCCGAGAGTGCCTTTGTCATTCCATTGAAGCTGGTCCACTCAGCAGACAAGAGTGCAAGATTCGCTGGGTCAGAAGGACAGCAAGCAACAGGAAGCCTGATTCTACACCATAGGGAGAAGTTACTCCCCCAGGAAGGAAAGAGCCAGGGAGCCATGGGTTCAGGACTTGCTCCCAGTATAACTCCAGTAATCATCACCATTAATACCTTATATTATACTTTCCTGTATCTGTTATACACTGCTCCTTTTAAAAGAGCTGGTTACTACTGGGTATGAATACTATTAATAGGAATACTTAAGTCATTTCCATAAATTTCGTTACCTTCTTATACAGTACATTTGCTCCTATGTTTATACAATTATATCTGCTTTCTTTTATAGCGAAACAAGTATTTACTGCATTTTTTTCAATAGCCATTCCAATGTAAATTAAAAAGGGAATGATACTAAAAAGTTTCATAATGACATAATTTTGCTTCTGCTGAAGTCAGTGCTTGACTTAAGCAGGGGAAAATAAAGGCTAGTACAGAGGAATTTTGAAAAACAAAACAACTCATCCTAGACTATCAGCAATTAAATGCAGCAGCCTGAATTGCAACTCCTCTATTCCACTTTTCTCAGCTGCTTTTAGCCGTTTGATTAACCTTTCAATAGTAACATTATAAATGGAAGTCTATAGGCAGAATGATCAGCTCGCACTAGATGAACAGATCTTGTTTCCAATCATACCTCCCCCACTTCTCTCTTTACCTTGTGTTCATGACACAAGAACATATGGACATAAGCTAGCCACAAAAAAAAAAGACTGGGAATTAGGAGATCTCAAACTATCAGAGCAGTGATATTCTGGAATAGTCTTTGGAGAGAAGAAGGAACAAAAGCCTGCCCAGTTATTTCTTCCCTTTAAAAAGATTACCCAGCAAATCTGGTCTTTTCACAGCTGAAAGGCCTGGACAAAATGAACAAATTACAGCAACTTAAAAGGGGCCAAGACGGACTTACTGTGCACCAGTTGTTCTGCAGTCACTGTTGTCATGTGTGATCTCACCCTGCAGTAAGTGAAAAGGAAGCCACAGTAACTTAGCTTTGTTTCACTTGGGTTGAACTCCCACAATTTAGCTTCTACTTACTACAGGCTGAGAGTGGGCACATGAGCAATTACTCTGTGTCAGCTGCCCCATGTTAAATCCTCACCTCCTTTAGCTTGCCATAACTTGGTTGTTTATACCTTTGGTCACTATCATCAAGACTGTTACAGAAAAATCCATGCTGGATCTTAATAAGCCCTCAATTGGGTGCAAGCCAGTTTGAAATTCCATAGAGTACTATTGGATGGATACACCTGAGGCTATTACCACTAATAGGTCTCTCAAATTCTTTGGCAATTGCCCACATAGATACAGAGCTGCCAAGTAAGGAAATTTTCCACTCAGAGATGGTTTAAAAATGGACAAGAGGAGCAAGATCTAATCTGTTCCAAGAGAGATGTTTGGCAGAATCTTGGCCTGCAACATCAGGCATGTGAAAAAAACCCAAACAAACACAAATATAATAATAAGACAACTTGGGAAATTCACTTTCCATTTAGTGTACCGTGGAAACCTGGACATTTCCATGAAGTTTGAAAAAATGATCAGTGTAATCATACTGACTGAACCCTGTTCTTCTCCTTTGAAAAAAATTGTTATCTTTAGTTCAGCACAGTTGGGTTCCCTGACATTATATTTCTCTGGCAAATAACTGAACATATATTTTTAAACAGATTATGAAAATCTTCCTTCTAACATTGCTCATTCCATCTAAAAATTTAATAATTGTGCTTGCTTATAAGCACAGCTGAGTCTCCTGTGTAATTTGTAAGGCTGTAAAGCTTCACTCAGGGAATACTCATTGAATTGTTCTGTGGAAAGAATTTAATTGTTGTTGGCAACAAACCACACGAGAGAAAATGCACTGAGAGCTGAAAATGAATCCCTGGATAAATGAATAAGCCAGCTAAATAATACACTTCAAAAGATACAAGCCAGTGGAAAGATGACCTGTGCAGAGAGTAGGGTTAGTGTTTGTGATCAAACATATTTCCTGGAATTGGGTCTGATCCTCCATAATTGAGTCCAGCAGGCAAAGTTCTGCTTACTCCCCTCAGAGCGGGAGGAAGTATTTTGTGAACCAAGTGCAGGGCTTGATTGTGGGCATTTACCAAAACCCATGAGTAAAACTGGCATCTCCCGGGGTGGAGGAGTGGGAGTGCAGAGGCAAGGGATAGTGGACTCGTGTCCAGCTCTATAAGCCCCTCTGGAGACCAGAAGGAAACAGGATCATAGCTCCATCTCCTCTTTTGGTCCTTTTTAAGCTTCCATGATCCTAGGAACTGTGAAAGAGACTTACAAAAGCTGCTCAAGAGAAGCCTACTTCTTGTTTCCCTCCATGCCATCCTCCATGCCATTAACTGAATGAAACGGCTGTGTTTCAATTCGGTTTTGGATTCGGCTGGTTTGAATGCCAGTGATTCATTTCAGTGTTTCAGATCACTCCTGTTTTCTTTCATCTGAATCTCCTCTGAATCTGTCTTGAACGGGCTGCAAGCTTTGCACGGCCCTACCGCCCAGCCAAGCAGGGCCTGGAGCTGGGGGCTACAGGGCCCCAGCAGGGAGCAGGATGGGGCCATTGGTGGCTCGTCCAGGGGAAGGCAGCTGCCCTCCATGCAGGTAAGGAGACTCCTGCGCAGATCTCTGATCCACGTCATGCCAGGTTGCGGGGCAGGGAAGCAGCGCAGAGCGGCGAGCAAGCCTGCTGGTCCCTGCCACGCGACCTGGCTCCGCAGGGAACAGAGATCCGTGCTGGGGTCTCCTCACCACTGCTGCCTGCCCTGCACAGCTCCACGTCGCTGGGACAGTGTGGGGCAGGCAGCAGCGGTGAGGAGACCCCAGACATGGGTCTCTGCTCCCTGTGGAGCTGAGTCATGTGGCAGGGCAGCAGCCTACAGCTGTTTCCCTGCAAGCCTGGCTCTGAAACTGAAATTTTCCAAAATGTTTCAGATGCCTTGTTTTGTTTCGGAGATGTTTTGGAGCTTTCCATTTTGATTCAGATTCAGTTTCAGGTGCCAAAAGGGCCCAAAACACCTCTGAAACAAAACAGCTGCCAAAATTTCACACAGCCCTATTGAACGTCCGAGCAAGGTTTTTTTTACATTTGTTAAGTCTCCCAGACTTTGGACCCTTTAGGCATTCAGACTGAAGTCAGTGAAACTACTCACATGCTTAAATTGGCACATATACTTAGCTCACAGAATCTGGGCATTATATAGTGCCCGAAGAAAATGCCAGTGTGTGATCGATACCAGTTTAGCCACTGGAAGTGTGGAGTGAAGCCAAGTTCCATTGTGGACAAAAGGCATGGCGTACCGTCAACAAAATCAGTCATAGGAGAATACGCGCACATTTGGGATAAAGCCCTGAAATGCAAAAGTGGGTTATGTTAAATCTAAGTTTCTCTTTCCCTTGCACCCCTGTAGTTAGTTATCTCTAAAATGAATCAGTCAAACAGTTAACATGCAATAATTTGAGAACAGTGAAGCCCACAGTGTGCGGACTGACTGTACATACACAATTATAGGGTTGAGACTACCAAGCTATTGCAGTCTTCTCATTAGCTGAAATGTCCCTGGATGCTTTAGCAGACACAGGAATTATATTTAACTGACACCAACTGTTCTCCCAACATTTAAGGGTGACTTTTATGTATATTTTCTTTAGTCTCCTTGTTCTGATAGTAAGAATTCAGCTGTTCCATAAACTTCATTTCCTCTGTGGTACTTTAGTATATAATTTTCTGAAATGATACACTGTAAAAAATTGTGTTGTGGTTTTCTCTGGCATCTCCAGTAATCCTCTAACTTCTGTATTTATTTCTTTTGCTTTATTTCCAGATGACCGACTTGGGTATTCAGTATTTGTCTAAAGTCTGCCATTACCTCCACTTCTTGGACATCTCAGGCTGTATATGTCTTACTGACAAAGTACTGAGTTATCTTTGGAAAGGGTGTAAACAGCTCCGGATTTTGAAGATGCTGTACTGCCAAAATATTACCAAGTAAGATGTGCTCTGAGGCAAATTTCAGAAGTTGGTGTAAAATTGGAAAGTGTACAACTAAATATTATCGACAGGAGACAAAATATGGTTTTTAATGCATCTAGTGTTCAAGTGACATATGTCACAGCCTGGCCTGATCCTCCTCTTATAGCAAATAGGATCGCAACTGGGTCTCACATACTTTGAGCTGGTCAGGCCACTGTTTCTACCAACAGTTCACTGTTTCTAGCTCTGGGTCTGTTCAGATTTGGATCTATATTCCCTATGTCTACCAACCTTTATTGGCTTAGTGCCTTAAACCATAAAACCAGTTCTTTAGGCTTCCTGATCCAACAGGTGCTTTTAAAATTTCCTCAGAGCATTGTTACAGCTAGGAATGGGAAGTGGGGTGGGTCCTAATGTTAGGTGGCTGGGTAAGGACCCACGGTCTGACATCACAGCAATGCATTTGTATTGCTGTGGCCTATTCAGACCCACTCTTGCCACAATCCTGGCATAGAGACCCAGCTGTGGGCACTCAATTAACCTCTTGAAAATCAGTGTGGAAGGCAAGCAAAACATTCAGGCTTATTCAAGGAATTTTTAAATCTTGGTCCATTTTAATTTTGAAAAACTGTTTCTGGATAAAATGAGAATTTTCAGAACCAAACTTGCTGTTTCTGTACACTGTCAAAACATGACATAAAACCCAGAAGAAATATGTTTTAATTTCATGCTTGCCCCCAGAACACCAATAAATCATGCACACTTCATGTTCCTAAAGGAGTTCCTCTGTTATGTATCAACCAGTGACCAGTCTTTTAGACCGGGGGTGGCCAACCTATTGCATGAGTGCCACAGACAATCTCTGCGCGTGGTACCTGGCACATTGGGGTGGGCACAGGTAGCACAGCAGCCAATAGGACAGGAAGCAGAAAGCAGAGCAGGAGATCAGGCCAAGAAAACAGGGCCGGAGGCAGAAAGCAGCGGAGGAGATCAGGAAAGAAGTACAGAGCAAAAAGCAGAGCAGCATATTAGGCAAAGAAAGGGGGTCGGAGTGGCACTTGAGGAAGGCACAGGGCTAATTTGTGGCATGCCTGACAAAAAGGTTGGCCCCCACTATTCTAGACTTTGCTTAACAGTCAAGGCCAGCCCTATACACAGCCAAGCACGTGTCATGTCACTGTGTCACATTCCATTTGTCTTGTAAGATTAAAATAAAAACAAAATGGAGTCACAACAACTTGTAGCTCAATATAACTCCACCAAAAATAGAAGCAAATGAAGAATCCATTCTTTCCAGTGCTAGACACTGTTAAAGAATAACACGTGATAGCAGGCTGCAGACTTACTTAAATATTAATATAAAACAGAAGCAGTGTATGAAGCAGACATCTCCTGATGCATATGTCCATATTTAGAAATTAATGAAATGGTAACTAATCCTATCTCAAAACTCCATAAAATACAGCACATAACCTCATGTGGGAGTAAGTGAGGCTGGTACAGAGTGCATTTTTTGCTGGAAGGGAAAGTAGGTTGGTCCCTTGAGTAGTTTCTTCCAAAAGCAGGAAGGTATCAGTTGCAATTCATTTTGGACAGTCTCTGCGATAAACTAAAAAAACTGCAGCTACAGAAAGTTACGGATGGAAGGGAGTCTTGCAGAAGTCACAGTAACACTGGAGGACATTTACAATAAAGTGTAGGACTCCTACTGCATCAAGTTAGCTGAAACACTAGGAATATTGAATACATTTTCTCTCCATGCGGTTATTTTCTTGGGGGTGGAAGAGAAAGGAATGTTTCTGCCTCCATTCAAAGACCCCCACTAAACTGCCTGGTGCTTCCAACCAAAACATTGCTCAATTATGCTCAGTACTATGCTGGTTCACTCGGCAGCATTTTTAAGAGCAACAGGAGATGTTTCCTCCTTTTGTAGCTGTTACTTGTCTCAAACACTTAAGCTCAGCATCTCAGCTCATTAATCCCTGACTAATAAGGAATACAAGCTTTGGCATTGGGAGATGATTGCTTTTAACTTTAATAGTTTGATATTGGTTATAAAAGGCTATTGCAGTAACACTTTCCTAAAAGGGAACATTTTATAAATATTTTCTGTGTGCTTGGTACATGTGAATGACAGAAAGGGAAGGCACTGGGACCTGAACAGTGTGGGCTCAGAAATGAAGGCAGCCAAAAGAGACCATACAAAGGATTAAGATCTAATCTCTCAGCCATTTGCACCTTAGGAAACAAATAAAATATATAACAGCAAGCAGTTCTTTCTGCCCACTGTACACTGATCTTTTTCAAATTTGACGTGAGAACTTACTGAAGCACCTGGAGCGTCAAGTTTCAGTTCACAGGGAATGTCTACTTGAGCTGGAAGCCATAATAATGATACAACTATTGCTGCTGGCATGGCCTCAGAAGAGCTGGGATCTTATGTCACTTAAGTATTCCTACATAACCTGCCAGAGGTTTGGTGTATGCTTCCCACCTTTGCTGTTAGCTACCAGCTTTCCCCTTCCCTCCTTCTTTCATCTTTTCCAATCTTCTTGCTACAAACAATTCTCCTATCACCATTTTTAAGCTTTTGGCCTGTTTTGCTTTTGTTTTATTAATTAATCCAACTTATCAAATAGCAACTTTAACATTTAAAAATACATTCAGTGCCCTAAAATATACATAAAGACATATATCAGAAGTGCTCCCTTAACTCAGGACAGTGTTCACAGAGGAGTCTTGTGATCCTGTCTTCTCTTCCCTTCAGTCTCTGACAGGTGCTTTGTTTTAGTTGATGTTAAGCTTTTCTGTTTCTTCCTGTCTATATTCAACATAGTTAATCATTCCCCACCTCTGTTTTTCTCAGAGCTTTGCATAATACAGAGTTCATCATCTACTCAACTGTGCTTTTAAATTTTGTATTCCCAAATTCTTCTTAATTGTTGGCTGACAGAACTAGTATTCTCTTTCAATATACAACAAAATTTCTCATTATTTTTGGTCTAAAGACAGAAGATTCTTCTTAGCAGATTACAGCAATGCCTACCAAATTTCTCAAATGAGCATCCTTTTCCTTCTTCCCTGTAGAACATGGGCTTGCCAGGACAGCTTTTCTGCTACTGAAACTTCCCAAACTTTTTGAAACCAGTCAGTGATTTTAACAGGGGTGGGGTGGCCTTTCTTTTCCAGGCTTTTCAGTTGTAATTCTTGCAGCCAGCAGGAGGTGAGCAAGTAAATCCTTAAGACTCTTACATGTTGCAGAGGTCTCAGGAAGAGAAGACTAAAGGTGCATCCAGATGAGCATATGGTTGTGTGGTACATGGCGCCACATACTGCACACATTGGTGTTCTCTACGCTGCAAGGGCATGCTGGCCGAGCATGTGCAGTGCCAGGTTTTTCTACAGGCTTTTTTGACCTCTGGATATCTAGGGATTAAAAAAAAAACTCTGGGGGAAAAAACCCAGAGCAATGCATGCTCAGCCAGCATGTGCTGCTGAAAAGCAGAGTTGAGCCAGCCATAGCCACACTCCACTGCCAGCCAGGCTTTGCTCACCAGAGTTGCCACAGCTGCAGCCCTGGGAGGCCCCTGGGACCCCAAGTAAGGCTGCTGGGGCCAGCACTGTGCTGACCCCAACCTCTCCTACCCCACCTGGGGCAACTTGCTATGCGCCAAAGCATGCGTGGCATGGGCATTCCCCAGGGACAAGTAGCAGCGGCACAAGGTACACTGCCACTACCTGTCCCCAGGGAACCAAATGTCCACGCACATCTGGACGCGCCCTAAGAGGTTGTCTGATAGATAGTATCCTGTTATTTCCCTCACATCTCTAACCTGATCCTGGGACATGCCCACCAGATGTGACAGAATCCTCAGAATCCAGCAACAGCCTGTTCCTGGACCATAACTACATTTACTTTTAAAGGGGGAGAGAGAACATCGACACAAGATTTTAGAATTATTTTCTTTTATTATTGTGTAGATGGATGTATGAGGACCATTGTTTTAGACAGTTTCCCATTCTTCAGCACTTGTTTCTGATTCAGTAGCTCATTTTGTCATCAGTAATGCTTATTCTTCTCTGCTGAGCTTTACATTTCTTTGGGCATATGTTAAAAAGTGTCTCAGTTGCAGATATTGGAAAAATGGGATCTCCTATGGTACGCTGTATTTCTTCCAAAGATCCAAATACCTATTCTTTGAATATTCCAGCATTTGGGACACTGATATATGTTCCCAGGTACTAAAGCTTCCTCATGTGTTACTAAGACTATATTCTTCTTATTATATATAGGTACTAAAGGTGACAGGAATGAGCTTAATTTCTTATACATGATATCCCAAGTTTTCATTTTTCCTGTCTTAAGGGGTGGTTGTGTACTGAATTTGGCCTGGATGATTTTTTTCAACCATGTTAAGTTAGAAATGTAGTTTGCGAATACCACCACCTCACAGTAAGCACCGGGTAAAGACAGAGCAAACATTGTCCAGCAGTCAGTGTTGGCTGGCTTGGTAAAAACACTCAACTGTTCGGAAGCTTCTTTTCCTTTTCATTCACTGGAGGTCTCCTCCTCTGCTGCTCCTCAAAACTTCCCTCTTATTTTTAATAGTAAGAAGTACCATGTATTTGCCTTCTAAGATTATGTGCACTTTGGGACAAGGATTGTGTCTCTGTATATGTTTAGGAAGTGGTTGGCTCAAATTATTTATGTTGTGGAGGCTCTCAAAGTCTTGTCTGTTCAGGGCCTCCTATTGAGATTTCCTTTGTCCTGGGAACGTTCACAGTGGCCAGGGGCAGCTAGGAGAGAGCTGTGCCTGGAACTGTCCTTGCCACCCCGAACATCAGCTTGAGATGCTATCAAGAGCAATGCAAGCGATCTTTCTTCCCCACTAGGAGCTAAGAACTAGGGGGCCCACGAACTAGATCCAAGAAAAGACTTAAAGTGCATAAAGCAGGACTTAGGGATGTAAGTCTGAAATCGTGATCCAAAACCTCACCTCAGCAGGTGAGGAATAGTTTAAATTGATCTGTAAAGTGGAATTTGTGTCTGTACCCTTTAGTGTTAGGTCTCCAGGAGCCTGAAGGTCTGCTTTTGGGCAGAAGTGCCTCCAGTCTGCTGGGCTCTTTGCCACTAAAATCTATCACATATACAAACCCTATTGGGATAAATTCATTAGATCTAATTCCTCTGTCTCTTTTCTGATGTGCCCAATCCACTAGTTGCTCTCAGACCATGCCTGACAGATTGGGCTCCGCAGATAAAGTAGCCATTGTGGATAGCTCAGAGTAGCTCCAGTGGGAAGCCGAAAGCACCTCACTGGAATCAGGTGGGTGGGTACTTATGTTTACTGGTGCTGGCATATGCCCCCCACCACAGCACAGAGAGGCCCTATGCATCTAGACTACATGTAGTACTTCCAGGGTGAGGTGGCAGCTAAGCAGTGGTTTTGAGGAGCTCAGTTTTGGATGAAGGCACCTAACATGGCAGTTAGGTGCTTACGTTCTTCCTCAGTCTTTCTGTGGCTTTCAATTTGGGACCTCACACTTGCACTTAACTCATCTAGGCATGCCCAACTGAGTGACTGGGCCTCTCCATTTTATGTTTAATGCTGAAGGCAATAGTTTCTTTGATTTGAGATTATGTTCTGGATTAAGGCAATTATTGTAACAATTGTTGCTTTTCAAAAGATGCTACATATAAAATAAGGTTTTATATTAGTGGATTTATAACGGTTGAAGATCTGACCTTGAGGGTTTTACACTGTTACAAGATTGGGTAGAAACTGTTTATGCAATGTGGTTATTTTTAATGTTTTGTTTCAGACAAGCTGTTCTGAAATACTCAGCCAAGATAGAGAAACAAGAATACAGCAATGCTGAACCTCCTTCATGGTTTGGGTATAATCAGCCTAGTACTGTGGTCAAGCCCCAGAAGAAACACACAACAGGAACTGAAAAAGCAAAATTGTGGATTCGGAATGAAAATGAAGAAGCTGCATAATATCTTTTATATTTTAACCATACTTTTTTTTTTTAAGGGAATAGTCATTTAATAAAAGGAGTTCTTTCTAGTTGAACTGGTAAGAGTTAGTGCAAGTCAAGTCTTTGTAGCAGGATAATTGAGGCCTACATTTTAGGGCTGTCAACTAATCACCATTAACAAGCATAATTAATGCATTAGTTTTTTTAATTCATTTTTTTAATATGCATTAATTGCTACTGCTGGGTCCTGTGTGTTGGGGGAAAAGTGCCCCCCCCCCACACACACGGCCAGCAAGCAGCCAGGCAGGGTCCTAGAAGCAGACTTGGCAGCTCAATGCAGGTAAGTGTATGGGGGGGCAGAGGTTGGACAGCCAGGTCTTGGGGACTGTTTAGGGTGGGGCAGGGAGGGGAGGGGGGCAGGTGCCTGCTGGCCCTAGAGGAAGCTATCCAGGCACTGGGTCTGTGTTAGGGCAGGGTGAGGCACCTTTTGAAGGTGGTGGGGAGCTCCGGCATGGAGCTGGTGCCCCATGCTTGCACGGGCTAGGCAGCCCCAGGTGATGCTGTTGGGGGGAGCAAGGGGCTGTGGGGGTCAGGAGTGCAGGGCACCAGCAGTGCCAGGGGGCTGCAGGTCAGGGTCAGGAGTGAGGGGTACCAGCTGTGCCAAGGGGTGAGGGTTGGGAATGAGGTGTGCTCCCAACATGTGTCCTCTTTTTTGTAATTGAAAAAATGCTAACCCTGGTTTTGACCCTTTTCACATACTGTACTTAATCACTAGGCAGAAATTAGCACAGTTCTACTCTGTTCTTCTGGTAGTGAGTAAATAAATAGCAGAAAGATACAATGGAACAAAGCAAGATGTGGGCGTTTTGAATGGGAAGATTATTTATAAAAAAACTTGCGGATGGTTCTGTGGATAAAAAGACTTATCTGTAGCTGTTGCAAGGCTGAGCTCCAATATAATCAAAGCACCTCAAGTCTGCAGTACTACCTATGTGCTAAACATGCTTTTGGTGCCATTCCTCTTGCTACAGATAACCCAATGACAGCAAATGAATCCGGCGAGCTGAGACACAGTACACTTACTGAGTTTCAGAATCGCTGCAAGCCCATGGATAAAATGAAATACAACAGCTTAACCAATGCTACTGCAAAATGAACAGCTATGGACTGCGGACCACTCAACATTGTAAATGACAGAGGGCTGATAGAGGTTATTCAAATTGCATCTTTTAATCAGTCAAACCTTGCCCTTCCAAGGAACTATTGCATCACAAATACACGACCTATATCACAACAAGAAGGCTACTAATTTGGAGCTGTTGAAAAATGCACAAGATGTTGCTTTGACTGGTGATCACTGGACATCCTTGAGCAATCACAGCTATCTTAGAGTCATGATACACCTGACTGATGCTGCATGGACACTGCAGTCATTTGCTTCAACAGAGACATTATGCTGAAACTTGCAGAGAGTTTCTTGGACGTTCCAAAAGAATGGCATATTCAAGAAAAGGTAACAGCAGTTAGCACTAACAGTGCACATAATCTGATAGCAGCAGCCAGTCACTTGCCTTTTGAACACATGATGAGCATCACTCACAGTCTGCAGTCATCCATCACAGTCCTGCTCAGTGCTGGTGGTTTTGAAAACGTGCTGGCAAAGTGTAGAAAAATTGTGGACCATTTCAAACACAGTCCAGGTTAACAGTGCAGAGCTAAAACCACAAGCTGCAAATGGACAGAAACAAGAACCTCTCATACAAGGTATTTCTACCAGACAGAATTCCACATTGGGTATGGTTCGGCGCCTGCTAAGAAGTAAAGCCGCTATCACAGCCATGTTAGCTCTTCAAAAGCACAATCTTATCAGTGCTCCCAAGTAGTGATTTTGGAAAACTGCAAAAGCTAGAAACGGTACTTAAGTCCTGCAGGTTTACAACTGAACTCCTTTGAGGAGAACTGTACGTCTCCTTCTCCATGATTTTCCCTGCACTCTACTATGTATTTCATGATATGGCAGTCTCGGATGACGACCCAGCATATGTTGCTCAATTTGAGGACACTTTCACTGCAGATATAACAAACTGCAAAGAGAGTAGCTATAGCGCTCAACCCAAGGTTTAAGGATCTGAAGTGCCTTCCAAAATCTGAGGGGAGTATGCTGTGGAGTATGCTGGCAGAAGTCTTAAAAGAGCGGCACTCTGACGTGGAAACTACAGAAACGGAACCACCACAAGAGAAAAATCAGCCTTCTGTTCGTGGCATTTGACTTGCATGATGAAAATGAAGGTGTGTTGGTCTGCACTGCCTTGGATCATTATAAAGCAGAGCCCGTCATCACCATGGAGGCATGTCTTCTGCAATGGTGCTTGAAGCATGAAGGGGCTTATGAAAGTTTAGCACATCTAGCACATAAGTACCTTGCAACATGGGCTACAACAGTGCCGTTCGAATGACTGTTTTCGCTTTCAGGTGACATTGTAAATAAGAAGCATGCAGCATTATCTCCTGAGAACATAAACCACCTTATTTGTCTAAGTGACTGGCTGAAATGCAGCAACGTTCATTGAAAAATAATATTTCTTTTGTTTAGCATTTTTACAGCGCAATTATTTCTAAAAAATAAATAAATAAATAATAAAAAGTGAAGACTGTACAGTTTGTATTCTGTATTGTAACTGAAATCAATTTATCTGAAAATATAGAAAAACATCCAAAAATGTTTATAACAAATTGGGATTTTATTATTGTTTAACTATGCAATTAATATTGTGATTAATCACAAATGGAATTTTTCATCTCACGATTAGTTGCAATTAATTTTTTTAATTGTTTGACAGCCCTACTTCATTTACAGTTACTGCAGAGAAACAGAATTACTAACTTTCACTTCAGGTTAAATTTCAGATGATGATTCAAGCCGCCTTCATTTTTCAGTAGCGAGGAGCATGCATGAAGACAGCACTGGATACTGCTCCGGAATGTAAATGGGTCCGGCGTCACCGTTATGCTAAATGGGGCCTCAGCCAGCCCCAATGAAGGGACAAACATCTTGAATTTGCACAGACCTCAGCACCTGCCAGGATTAGCTCTCATCAAGGACAGTGTTTTGTGACCAGATACAATCTTTGTGGCATCAGCTAGCCACATGCACACCCACTGCAGTAATTAAAGTTCAGGTTCACAAGATGAAAATCTCTCTCCCAGTAATGTTAACTGTCTGTGATATACATAACAGAATCACAGAGTTGGAAGGTACCTCAGGATCATCTCTTCCAACCCCTGCACAAATGCAAGATGTGGTATTGCTCAGCCAGCACAGACAACTTACAGTGGAGCCAGAAATGGACAGAATTAGAAGAGTTGTAGCTCTCTGTCCACCCTCAGAAAAAAACGAGTATTAGAAAGCTAAGAGAAAAGTGGTCTGAAAGCAGATAGAGCAAAAGAAGTGCTCATAACATGGCTCCAAGAGGGTGTGAAGACAGTATTTTGTGTGAAGCTCTGTTTGATCCTACTGTGTTTAGAGAAACAGGACTTGTGAGCATATATTATAATTAAAAGGATCACAACAAAGTAGTACTTGATTCTCCCATTAATTGCTGGTATAAGCAACTCACAAAGCTGCTAACGTTGGGAACTAACTGCTCAGGACAAAAGGAGTCACAGTTATTTTGTGTGTTCCAATAAACAGCTACTCTTATGAGAACAAAGGGCAGTGATCCAGGGAGAGAATTGACTCTGGACAACCTCAGAACCAAATCCACGGTCTTCAGTGATCTGCCTTTTCAATGAGGGAGGAGAAGAAAGTTTAAATGAAATTGCCGCTCTCAGGCTGGAGCAGCAAACTCTTCCCATTGCTTAGTCAGTATTATGCAGTCAGCCATGACATCCAGTAAATTCCCAGGTTCACAACTGATTTTTTTTCTTTCAAAGCAAGATGAAGACCAGTAGTGCAAGACTCAGAAATAATTGTTTTGGCTTTGGTCTTTATTTTCAAGTGTCAATGCAGAACACTTCTGAGAAAAATTCAGGAACACAAACCTTTAAAAAAAAAAAATCAGGAAATTCAAACTTCTTGTAATGAGCTTTACTTAACTTGAAATGACAAATATAAAAAATAATCAAAGTCCCTCACAACAATAAAAAAGCACAAATATATATCAGTGGGGGCAGGCAGTGACTGTTGTGGTTTTTAATCTGACTGAACTAAGGTTTCATAGTTGGTAGGGTCAGAAGGGACCTGAGAAGATCATCTAGTCCGACCCCCTGCCATGGCAGGAAAGAGTACTGGGGTCAAACGACCCCAGCAAGGTGTTCATCCAGCCTCCTCTTAAAAACCCCCAGGGTAGGAGCCAGCACCACTTCTCTTGGAAGTTCATTCCAGATCCTAGCTGCCCTGACAGTGAAGTAGCGCCTCCTGATGTCTAGCCTGAATTTGCCCTCTGCCAGCTTGTGACCGTTATTTCTAGTCACTCCTGGCAGTGCTCGGGGGAACAGGGACT